GGCTGCAGCTGGATAGATCGCTCGACATTGTCGCATCGGTTCCGTGCTGGTGCGAAGTGCGCACCGCTGTTACGGTTTTATGAGACGGTTCCAAAAATAACATTTTAATCGGCAAACGGCTACAGCTGGTGCGAAGTGCGCACATCTGTTTCGGTTTTATGAGATGGTTCCAAAAACAACGGTTTAAATTGGCAAACGGCTGCAGCTGGATAGATCGCTCGACAGTGTCCGAAGTGCGCACCGCTATTTCGGTTTTATAAGACGGTTCCAAAAAAACTGTTAAATCAGCTAGCTGTAACTACAGTTTTAGGTTACACGTTTGGAACACTTTTATTTTAGGGGTTACGTTAAATACCGATAATCGCCCGGTAACACTTTTTTAAATGAGAATATTGATATCATGTTATGTTGTGTTTCATTAAAAAAGACAAAGAAATGTCAAATTTTGACATTTCCGTGTTTTATATTTTAATTTTAAATTAAAATTTAAAACATTTGAGTAAAACTAGACAACTTATGTGTTGGTAAGATTTTTTGTTTGAATTTTCAGGTATGACTCTCCAGACGTTTACTTCTACAATTCAATAATGCAACCGGCAAACAGATATCGGACTTACTCGCTTCAAGTGAGCCAAGGGCAAGGTAATTTTGATATGATGACATAGTTTAAAGTTTACCTACCTCCTTCAACATTAATATATTGAGGCCAAAGTTTGCTACAATGTTTGCGAACAAATATTTGTAATCTTTGCAGTTCATTAATTTAATGAAATATTAAATTATATATTTCTAAATAATTTCAGGGGCGTTTCCGCAAAGTTTAAGCGGTAGTGAGACTGACGTATCTACTTCAAACGAGAATCTCTCAAATGAAGAAAAATACGTCATTCGGCATACTCCAAGGCAAGAACCGCAAGGACAAGAGAATCTCCAAGCTAGCAATAGAAGCTCTCTAAGAGACAGTTTGCCGTCAAATCGCAGTTCGCTAGATGTATCATCTTCTTCATATAACACACTAATAATTCACAGTGCTGGAGATGAACCTTGGACAGGTAATTTTTTACCCGATAATCCAAACAAGTTACCATTTCGAGTTCTTTCAATGTATATTTATTCGGGGTGAAGTCGACTTGTGGGGGCGAACTCGGTCGGACCTTTAGTGGTCAATATTTTGGTCAAGATCATTTGATACACCGCGTAAAAAGTACCCAACCGTTATATTCCCGTCAGTTAAGTTCCTACCGTCATTAATAGTATACATTTTCATTGGAAAAATTAGCCGTGGAACACAGGGTGAGGATTTTATCAATTGTATTTTTTCTTGGAATTTGAAAACTATAAAAGAGACTGTTGCACACTAGAGAATACTAAAAATAAAAAATCCGAATGAGTTATTTTTTCTGATGTGCTCTATTATTAGTAAACCCATGGCAATTTCATTAAAAATATTGTTTTTTTGTTTTAAATAATTGCGTTTTAGCAAGAAAAGTGATTTTATATAGGTGAAGGCGGGCGCCATGGTTAGGCAGTATAAAAAGAAAATCGGTATTAATTCTACGAACTACAATGAAGAAAACATCTCTAGGGCACTTTTAATTAGGGGGATTGAAAAGTTAATTTGTTTTATTATGGAATTCGACAACGGAGACACGGAAGACTCTAAATTATTTTATTGAAAATTTAATTTTCAAAATTATACTTTTAATTAAGAGAAAACTGAAAAAATCGTCCGACTTCACCCAAACGACGGTACTCAAGAAAAATTTAGTTGTTACTCCTCAAGTACTGCCCAAAAGAGCTAGTCCATGCTTTCTCTCAGTTTGTTTTAAATTAAGACTATAAATGATTAAAGTTATAATGATCTATCAACATAACATTATACAGGGTGTCCCGTAAGCTCATGATCAAAAGGGTACTGCGATATTCTTTAAACCAAAAGAAAACGATCTGACCTAACTTTTATTAACAGAAGATGTCTGGCTCCTCTGCTATTGATGGTCAAACATTGTTAAGTGGCAAGGAAACAGAAATATATTTTTTCACAAAAACTATGCATGCTACAAGATTTTACAAAGAGCACAAAATTGTGAACAAATGATTAGTGCATCAACATAAAAAAATGAGTTGATTTCATCTTCCAACTAAAAAGTTCTGGTAGTTTTTGTACCCCGACACTCAAGAATTCACCACTTGTCCAAAACGGCTGAACTCGATTGTTTTATCAAAATATGAGTCTTACATAAGAACAAATTCACAGCGAGTTTCACTAAAATACAAAAATACATCGTACCATTCTCCCGGTATTTCAAAAAAGGTAAATTTTTTGAAGAACTTTGACCATCAATAGCAGAGGAGCTAGGCATTTTTTGTTAATAAACGGTCGTCTTCTTTTGCTCCAAAGAATATCGCAGTACCCTTTGGATCATGAGCTTACGGAACATCCTGTATAGGTTTTTATTCGTTTTTAAGTAGAAGTTTCAACAAGTTCACGTGTTTACATAATTATTAGTTTTGAATATTCAATACGAAACTTGAATTAATTTCAGAAACATTTTCAAGAAAATTGAGGGCGAACGAGTGGGGCAAATTAATTCAAGAAACGTGGCGAACACGTATTTTTTCAAAATGGACTCTAGAATATTACTTGCTAACAGTTTAACCTGCACAGGTATTAATTTGAAAATGTGAGCAGAAAATAAGCCTAATCGGACCTACTCAAATGTAATATAATTCCGCTCAAACAACAGGTATTTTAAAACATACATCTGCAGTTGGCTTTCATTGAGCGCTCAAGGACATATTTATTGCCGACTCGATTGCTAAACGTATTTTTCTCGCAATAGTCGTACAGTGCCTTCATATAATTATGTCGATTAAGGATTGGGAAATTGTCTTTTCAATTTAGGAAGAAATTCTGGCGCAACTTCATCACCCCACAGTTACCTTCACCAACAGCCAAATTTGTATAGTGATACAAAATTGTCATCTGGTCAGAAAAGGAGTTCTGCATCACCGTCTCCTTCTATTACTAGCACAGGTAAACGAAGCAAATTAGTGTGAGAAATGTTGTCATATATTTAGTAATGTTACTGTTTAATGTTCGTATACAGAATGTTTTTAACAAGGTAATAATATTTTGGGGCTGAATTTGTAAGTAGACCTGCTATACAAGATTTACATTATCGTGGAACATGTTCAACAAAAGTGATGAGATGACACAGTTTATGTGAGTTTTCAATTACTGATAGAAGAGAAATGCCTGTACGATAACAGTTAGTTATGCGATAACTAATTTAAGGTTGAGTTAGTTTATTATAAAGCTTGCGGATGTTTCTCTTGTGGGGGTGAAAGATTATTGTCATCGTTTAGTAAAACTTCAGTTGTGTGACAAATTCCCCATATCTATTAGTAAATAGATTTTCCTATGGTTTGCTTTCCTATCTAATGTGAATACATATATTTGAAGAACTCTACTAGGATATGTCAAATATAAACAGGATTGGGATAGTTGGAACACATGTCGCTATATTAGATCTGTGGTTAACTCACAATGGAGTATGTCTGTGGAGATAAGACAAGAATCGAAAGGTCAAGAACAGTTTTTAGCAATGCAAAGCAACTCTTCGTCGGTAATCATATATCCATAGCATCTAAAATCAAGCAAGTGAAATGCCATATATTCTGAACTCATATATGGAGTAGAAGCATGGACCATGATCGATTCAATGGAGAAAAAATTTGAAAAATTTAAAATTAAAAACATAGTTAAAAAGCCTAATACGGAATGGTTTAGTACCTTAACTTTTCAACTCGCGAATAGGTATTTAAAACTACTTTATCGTGACACAAAGACTAGTAGCAAACCAATTGTGCGATGATATAAAAGATAATGATCAGATTAATAGGTATATGTTTTTCAGTCACATTTATGGTCCATATGTTAGTTTTAGTAACAATTTATTGCAAAAAAACACGATTTTTAAAACTATTCTGTCTTTAAAATTATTATATTTTAGGTGTGCAAGAAATAACTGAAATCCCCGATGATTATCTCAGCCAATCTAGCGTTTTAAAGCATCTAGCCAAAGAAGTGAGTATTAATTATTAGTTACATCAATTTTATTACTTAAGTAAATGTACAATGTAACATAAAAATTTCGAATGAGAGTGGCCGATTTAGGAGACACAGAGGGCAGTATGTTTAGTCGATCTTCGAAACTTTGGCGGATAGCCGTGCGTGCCGTCGTCAACGCGAAAGCGACGTGTTTTCGATGCAAAGCTGTTCTTCGTTATGTGGACTCACTCACGACAATTCTCCAATAGAATGAGCATGCGCAATATCGCTATTCTAGTGGCCCCCGGCGTCCGCTTTTGCACTGATATTATTAACTTACTGATAAAAGTTGGGCACTGCATGCCGTTTAGTTAGCTAATGAAGTCGTTTTAAAAGTCGGCGCTGGAACGCCACCAAAGGCAGAAAGGATAAGCGCTTCCCATTGCGGTTAGTTGCCTCGAAGGATAAGATATTGTAAAAATAAATCGCAAAATATAATTTTTTTTCTAAATAAAGACATATTAGCGGTGAAAGGCGTTATTAACACTGTACAATACATCGACATCGTTATCTATATATTTATAACAAAAATAGTATAAAAAACACGAGAAGTTGAGAACTTTCGCTAACAAAATAGCTTTGGCGATAGGAGATGCTTACACCCATCTCCGACAAATTCCCACCGCATCGCCCAACAACATTAAAATGCGCGTGTGTCAGATGCCCAACCAAAATTGCCTCCAGCGAAGGTCGGGAGGCCGGCGCATCGCTTGAAATGGTAAACCTTGAAGCATTGATTGAACCTTCCGTTTTTGAAATATCTGGGTTTAAAAAGATTTTTTGTAACTATATGAGAATTTTAGTAATAATTGATATAATTGAGCCAAGGCAGCTTGACGCGTTGGTGTAGGTAGCGACGATTTTCAATATCGTTCTCAACTTCCACTTTTCACTCAATTTGGTTGCAATAGAGTACACCCTTTAAATTCCTCCTATCTTTTAGGTAAAATATTTGCCCTATTAAGTCTTCACAGGGAAACTAAAATGTATGCATATTCGGCTTTTGAAAGAATGAAAAGAGTATGAAAGTTTCCCACTTTCTCAAAGTCAAGCATTGCTCTAAAATATTGTTTTATATTTTGACTTTATCAATAAATATAATTTACATTGTTAGGCCATTGCAAATCAAAGGTTTTTTTAGGTTAAAGTACCATCTCCAAGCAACACAGTTAGTCATGAAACCATTCACGACCTGATAGGCCGATTTGATACAGCTTCATTTGATATTAACAACATACCAGCACCAATAGAATACTCTAATAAATGGGCAGACAAATCGCCACTACAAGCTGCTGTCAATAGCAGAAGTAAAATAAGTAGCGACAAACTGGCATTGTCCAAGTCTCAACCTGATTTGACTTCAGTTGGCATTGGAAAATCCGATTTTACAGGTAAGAACAAAAATAGACACTTGACTTTAGGTTATTTGACGAGAGTATAACAAACGAGTTTCAATGTTTTGTCAAAACTGGAATTTCAGGGGCTCGAGGCGTTTTGCTTAAAAAAAATTCAATATATCGCATAAACCATACATTATTTCATGTATTCATTCATTCTCTATACATATATTATTTATATGTATGAAGCGTTTTCGGGTATTGGATTTTGGTAGGCATTTTATTAGTAAGACTTCAATATGATTTCAGTTTTTTATTTTTTCTCATAGTTGATTATAACTGTACAGAAATTTCTATTGCTTGGATATTAACCTGACGTCCGTTTTACTAGCATCATCTTTGTAATCTTGAACCATCAGAAATATGACGTCGCCTACATTGGGAAAAGTTGTGCGTTTTTGAGCTTGATCAAATGCCCATTTAAAACTTCAAAGGTGTAAAAAAGATACACATTGCCTGCTTATTCTACCATCATTTGTGAAATCTGAGTCAAAAATCGATTTCCTCATGTTCATGTAACCCAGAATTAAAAAAAATGAAAAAGCGGCTGTACCAGCAGCAACCCCCACCACTCACCTTTTTGGTGCCCTCGACCGTTTTCACTCATATTCAAGACTCTGTTTCACCCACTTAACCGCAGTTTATAGAAAAATTAATAATGATTAAATTCCAATCGGACCATCTCAGGCGCAAGCAGCCCTCGGCGAAAAAATCGCTGAAAAAAGTTGAAATTGAAATTGTCCAATTAATCCAACCGAGGACAGCTTTTGGACACATAAAGTATATATAAATAACTACCCTTCTATAATAACTTCTCTTCTTCAATAAAATCTGAGCTCGTAATTAAAAAAATAGCCAAGTTTTGAGTTTTTCGGTTTTTTCGCGTTTTCTCCGGTTCTAATTATGGAATCAAATAGATCGATATCTCATTCTCTTCCTAATTCCATGCTCTACAATTCAACTATTTACACCAATAAGATGACCGATTGCTTCAATCGTGTCGATTTTACAAGCAAGAAACTAAAACAATGCGATTTTTTGTTTTGAAAATTGTTTATAAAAAATTAACAAATGGCATTTGGTTGTCCATACCAAACCGGGAATAAAGTTCGGACTGCCCTGCACATGATGGTGTATGTGGTTTTCCGATTGGATTTATGTCATGGACTATTGCTTGGCCTAAATCCTTTATTTTTCTTCATGGAGCACTATACATTTTCTGCGATTTGCGAACTCTGCTTGTAATTTCGAATACTTTTTATTCGCAACATTGTTATCTAACATTTAAAGCTATTGAAGAAATTAAAAA